AGAAAAAGTAAGTACAACAATAGATATCACAGAAATAAAATAGAATCATCAGAAATTACTACACAGAGCTGTATGCCAACAAATTAGAAAACACAGAAGAAATGGATAGGTTTCTGGACATATACAACCTACCTAAATTGAACCATGAAGATACAGAAAACATAAACAGACCTATAACCAAGATGGATATTGAATCAGTAAGAAAGGCCCTCCTAACAAAGAACACAGGACCAGAGGGCTTCATTGCTGAATTCCACCAGACATTTAAAGAACGAACTCAGATTCTTCTAAAGTTACTCAAAACAACTGAAAGAGAGAGAATCCGCCCAAATTCTTTTACAAAGCCAGCATCACCTGAATTCCTAAACCTGAAAAAGATGCAACAGAGAAAGAGAATTACAGACCAACTTTCCTGATGAACATAGATGCAAAATCCTAAATAAAATTCTAGCCAACCAAATCCAACAACACATCAGAAAGTTCATGCATTCAGACCAAGTGGGATTTCTCCATGGTATGCAGGGATGATTCAACATTTGCAAATCAATCAATGTGATACACCCATTAACAAACTGCTGAACAAAACCATATGATTATCTCAATAGATGCAGAGAAAGCATTTGATAAAACACAACACTCTTCACTGATAAAATTCTAAGCAAACTGCGTAGAGAAGGAACATTCATTAACACAATCAAGGTAATTTATGACAAACCCACCGCCAGCACCGTATTAAATGGGGAAAAGTTGGAAACATTCCCTCTGTGATCCGGTGAGTCACACTCTCACCACTGCTATTAAAAATAGTCCTGGAAGTTTTTGCCAGAGCCATGAGGCAAGAAAAAGAAATCAGTGGAAGTGACACGGAGTTGGGGGGCATCTCCCATCAGCTGGTTCACTCCCCCAAATGACCACAGAAGCTGGTAATGAACCAGGCCGGGGTCAGGGGTTGGAACCCCATCCAGGCCTCCCTGTCTGCTGAAGGGGCCTGATTGCTTGCCCCACCTTCTGCTGCTTTCCCAGGTGCATAAGTGGGGAGTTGGATCAGATGTGGAGCAGCCATCATTTGAACCAATGCCCAGATGAAATGCTAGCTTTTCAGACTGAGATTTAATTCACTGCACCACAACACTGGTCCATAAATGAAGTCTTTTTGACCTCAAACTAACTTTAGGATTTTCCACAGGGTCCTTGGAAAAATCTCAAAGAGAGACAGTTTTCTCACTTTATAAAAAATATTAAACTAATACAGTTAACTTGATATGCTAAATTGAATGGAAAGCACTGTAAAATAAAAGTGATGATTAACCTTATGCTATATTTGTATGGACATATGTAGCTAATGTTAATGCTCCAGAAAATGTCAAATTCCAAGAAATCTGATATCTCCTGGTATAGTGTTACCAATCAGTTATCAGTAAACTTTAATAGATCTTTAAAAAATCCTTTCAAAAAAGGAAATGCAAAAATGGTTATTCACACATGTAAAGATATTCACTAATATTTTCTGAGCTCTGTAGAGGGAAGGAAAGAAACAAGCAAGAGAAAGGGAAGAAGAAAATGTGAATAATTTCATACTAATTAAAAAATGAATATTCAAATAAAATTATCTTCACAAAAAAAATCATATTTTGAAAAATTGATGAAAAGAAGAGGCCATGAAGGGAGGGGAAAGGCGAAGAGAGGAAGGTCTGGGTTTATTCTTGGAACTGTACCTAAAGAATGCATGAAATATGTTCTCTTTTCATTCATTTTAAAAATAATTGAAGGGGCAGGTGCTGTGTGGCAGTGTGTTAAAGCCCAGGCTTGAAAGGTGGGCATCCCACATGGGCACAGGTTCTAGTTCACGCTGCTCCTCTTCTGATCCAGCTCTCTGCTATGGACTGGGAAAGCGGTAGAAGATGGCCCAAGTCCTGGGGCCCCTGCACCCACGTGGGAGACCTGGAAGAAGCTCCTTGTTCATAACTTTGGATCGGCTAACTTCAAACCATTGTGGCCATTTGGGGATGAACCAGCAGAGAGAAGATCTCTCTATATATATATATCTCTATACCTCTTTCAGTAATTCTTTCAAATAAATAAATCTTTAAAAAAATGAAAAAGAGGCTGGCGCTGCAGCTCAATAGGCTAATCCTCTGCCTGCGGCGCCAGCATACTGGGTTCTAGTCCCAGTTGCTGTTTGTTCTAGTCCCACCACTCTGCAGCGGCCACAGGAGGGTGAAGCAACGGTAAAAGGAAGACCTTTCTCTCTGCCTCTCTCTCTCTCACTGTACACTCTGCCTGTCAAAAAAATGAAAAAGAAACAAGAATGTTACTTTAGCATAGTTGTGACAATCTGTGATTACTTTAAATTTAGTGTGTTAAATGGTTATTTTTCCATTCAACCGAACATATTTGTTGCTTATATTCCCACTAAACTAGGGATTCTGTTTTTTCCTTATTTTTAGGAGATTTATTTTGCTTACTACAAAGACACTGTTACATACAGAGAGAGAGAGAAAGAGGAAGAGATCTTCCATCTGCTGGTTCACTTCTCAAATGGCCAAGACAGCGAGCAAGATGAAGACAGGAACCAAGAGCTTTTTCCAGGTATCCCACATGGGTGCAAAGTCACAAGCAGTTGGGCTGTCCTCTGCTACTTTGGTGCACTAGCATCAGTGGGATCAGAAATGGACTAGGGACTAGAGATGTGGCATTATCAGTGAGGCCGCCTCCTGCAGTGCCGGCATCCCATATGGGTGCTGGGTCAAGTCCTAGCTGGACGACTTCTGATCCAGCTCTCTGCTATGGCCTGGGAAAGCAGTGGAAGATGACCCAATCCTTGGGTCCCTACACCTGCATGGGAAGACCCTGAGGAAGCTCCTGGGTCCTGGTTTCGGATCAGTACCCCTCCAGCCATTGTGGTCTTCCAGGGAGTGAACCAGCGGATGGATTGCAAGACTTCTCACTCAATCTCTCTGCCTCTGCCTCTCTGTAACACTGCCTTTCAAATAAATTAATACATCTTGAAAAAAAAAAAAGAAGTGGAGTAAATGGGACTTGAACCAGCACCTGTAGGGGATGCCAAACATTGGACCACCTGTTTTTTAGTTCCTGAACTTCTTATTTGGTAAAGAATTTAGCCTTGTTACTGTAATGCAAATTTAAAAACTATCCAAAAATGGATGAAAGTTAGGAAGTAAGAAAGGGAAGGAAAAAGGGCAAAAGAAAGGAAGAGGTACACTGGGAGAGACAGTGTTGGTAGGAAAGCAGAAAGAAGGGAATGTTGCTTTATTAGTAGTATTGTTCTATAAAATATATTGAAGAATTTTTTAACCTAAGAAATAAATGCATCCACTGGGGACAATATCAATCTTTAATAGAAATTTACATAAAATAGGCAAGCACTCACATTACAGGAAAATTTAATATATAAAATATGCATTTTCAAAAAAGTCTGTACTTGGAAAATCCTATGACATTTATAAAAGTGTAAGTGTGAAAATGTTTCTGTAAAAAATAACCTATAAAGTAAGAGTATAAAGGCTATATAATTCTGAATGTGTTACTCCAAAATAACACTGCATTGTAAAGAATGACACATCCTATAGTAAAACTTAAGGAAAAATTTGCATTCCTACTAACTGTGACAGTGTGAAATAAAAAGACATGGTTTAATGGCTCATAAAAGCAAATGGAAATATCAGAGATGGAAAAAATCAAATGAGGAACAGGAAGTACTACAAAGTATACATTCCAACATAAGGGGAAGATATTTCAAGAACTCACACCTTGTTACTTCCTGCAGGACTGGAGTCATCCCCAGCCCCCAAACAGCAATCAGAACAAACACTCCATGACAGCAGACGCTTTCACACAGAGCTGCCTAGAAGGATATGGCAAACATGCACCACGACAAAGCTGTGTGCAGTTCATCAAAATGTCTTGAAAAACAAACTCACAACCGCTTCTTTCCACAAACTTTTCAAAGTACCTCACGTTGGCCCCTGCATTACATTAAATAACGAGAACAAATGCTGGCACATAACAGAAACATCTTTGAAAGACAAGAAACACACATTTACCAAGAGAGAGTCCTCTGTCCAAATTCAGATTCTATAAGCTGACCTCAAGCCACAAATTTCAGTCCAGGCTAGATCAGGTTCTTGTCTTCCTAAGCACAACACCTATCCAGTTTTCTCCCAGATAATCCTCTACCATCCCTGGTATTCCAGAGACCTTTGTCAAAGTTTCCTGATTGACCGTGCACTCATACCACAGTCCCTAAGAAAGAACACACCGCACCCCTCACCGTTTTCTTACCCTCATTTTCCCAAGGTTGTTGCCCAGGCCCTGTCCCAGGTCTAACACTCAGAGACTCCACCACTTCTTCTAGTAGACCTACCAGCTCCTCCCTATTACAACTCTACTGAGGTCACCTGACCCCCTCCATACACTCCTTCCATTTCCCTATCTATAGCACAGGATAGTGATACACAGAAATTACCTGATTTCAGCTCCCAACACCTTGCATGCCCCAGGTTCTTCCATGACATCTAACCCTCCACTCCCACCACACAAAATACTTCCAATCCTGTCATTCTTAGCCCCAAAATCTCAAACCCAAACTTTTATTAACACTTCTCTCCAAACCAGACCTCTTGGGTTTTGTACTCTGACTCAACAGCACACACTCTTCGTCCAAGTCTCCCTCCCATTTCCTGGATACCCAAGTCTTCCCCTCTTATGTTCTTTGGCCCCTAATTCTCTGCGGAGCCCTGGGACTCGTTCCCCAACACCCTATCCACCCCCGTCTCCATGGTCTCCAACTACTGAAGCCCACCAGGCTCCTACATTTCTCCCCATGCCTGTGGGGCTACCCACATGACCCTCCCTGCCACAGGATGGAAGTCCACATCACTGTTTGCCTGGGCTGCCCAACCCCAGGGAACGGGCTGTCCCTTCCCTTCCCTTTGGGCACCCAGGCCACGGCCACCACTGGGGCGGCCACATCTGCTCACCACTGCTCCTCTCCAGGATGAAGGCCCAGCTGGGGTTGAGCAGAAGCCGTGCAGTCTCCGGAACTGGAAGATTATCCAGCAGCTGAGCTTCAGCGCCCACCCTGCGTTAGTTTCACATCCGTGCCCTCTGCGGGGGAGGAGGGGAGGCAGACATCCGCTTCTTGGCTTCCTCATGGCTGAGCCGCTGCCCACCCGTGCTGCCTCCGAACCTGCGGAGTTGGGGGAGAACGCCATGGGAAGATGCCCTGGATACCTCTGTCCCCTAAACTTAAATGCAGCTAATCCCTCCCGCACTCTCCAAGCCTACCATAACACCGCCAGGCGACAACGATGCCACTGCAGCGGACGTGAGGCCTACTGCGCAAGCGCCATCCGAGTAACACCGCCCCTTCCTCCCAGGATACACAGCGTCAGCGGAAGAGGCCGCACGGCCTTGATGACCAGGGGCAGCCACCTTAGCAGCCTCAGCCTGGCATGGCCGCCCTGTGCTCACCACGATCAGCAGTGCTCCAGGGACACCGTGGATCCCATCCAGCCCACCAGAAGCCCAGGGCAGTGTGCAGCTCTCTAGACCTGCGGGCTGACACCCAGCCACCCCCGTTGGTGCAGCGCTCTGCCAAACTGCCCGTGGTCAGGGTACTGATGGCGGATGCCCGCCCAGCATCCCTGGCCTGGTCGGAGCCGGGGCTGCTGCCCGGAGTCGGACAAGCAGTGCTGGTGCTGCCTTACACCGCGTCAAAGCCACGCCATGCAGCGCTGTCTTTCCATGTGGGTGCCGGAGTGCGTTCTGGCACCACCACTTCCGATCCAGCTCCCTCCTAACGCGCCTGGGGAAGCGGTGGAGGATGTCCCAATTCCTGGGCCCTGCAGCCACATGGGAGACCCAGAAGAAGGTTCTGGATCCTGACTTCACATTGGCTCAGTCTGGCCATCGCGGTCATTCGGGGAGTGTACTGGCAAATGGAAGACCTCCCTCTCTCACTCTCATCCTCCCTCACTCTCACTCACCTGCTCTCATTGTTTCTCTCCCTGTAATTATTGCAAATAAATGAAATAAAACATTTTTTAAAAACCACATTATCACCTCATTAGATACAGAGAAATAACCTGAAAAGATTCAATCCCATTCATGTCCCATTCATGATTAAAAAAAAAAAAAAACCTCCACAAAGTAGGTATAAAAGGAACAGGCATCAAAATCATAAATGTTACGTATGACAAATCAGCAGCCAATGGCATGCTGGATGGGCAAAAAGTGAAAGCATTTTTGTCAAATATGTAACACAAGGATGGCCCCTTTTACCACTCTTACTGAATGCATTACTGTAAATTTTCAAAGAGAAAGGACAAGAAAGAAAGAAACAACACCTAGATTATAAAAGAGAAAGTGAAATTCTAAATGCCTACACGTGACATGATATGATACCAGAAAAAAACTAAAACAATCCACCAAAAACACTGCTAGAACTGGTGAAACAATTCAGTGAAGTCACAGGTTACAAATAAACATAGTGTGTAAGCAGCAGTGCTTATACATTAATGATGAACTCACTGACTGTAATCAATAAAATTCCCAAGGACAATAAGCACAGAAATCAAATGTTAAAACTAAATTTAACCAAAGAAGCCAAAGAGCTCTATCATGAAAATCACCATACACTGACACAAGAAATCACCAACGACTCAAAAAATGGAAAAATATCCTTTTGGTGAATTTGAAGAATCAGCATAATTAAAATTTCTACCTTACCTAATGCTACCTAAAGATTTAATCAAATTTTTATCAAAATACCAATGGCATTCTTTACAGAATTACATAAAACTAACCTATAATTCATATAAAATCACACAACCCCAGAATAGCTAAGGAGTTCCTGAGCTCATTTGGCTAATCCTCTCCCTGCAGTGCTGGCACCCCTGGTTCTAGTCTCGGCTGGGGCGCACAATTCTGTCCCTGTTGCTCATCTTCCAGTCCAGCTCTCTGTTGTGGCCGGGAAGGCAGTGGAGGCTGGCCCAAGTGCTTGGGCCCTGCACCCCCATTGGGAGACTTGGAGAAAGCACCTGGCTCCTGTCTTTGGATCTGCACAGCACACCAGCCACAGCACACTAGCCAGAGAGGCCATTTGGGGGGTAAATCAAATAAATGGAATACTTTTCTCTCTGTCTCTCTCTCCCTAACTCTGCCTGTCCAAAAAAAAAAAATTATCCTGGATGCCTCACAACACCCAAATCAAAGCATTCTACAAACGCACACTAAACAAAATATCATGGCAGTTGCATACAAAGTGACACACAGACCATTGGCAGAAAACAAGGTGAGCTCCAATATTAATCCAAATATGTACAACACAAGATTTTTACAAAAGGACTCAGACCATCCATTGGAATAAGGAAAAACTCTTCAACAAATGGTGTTGCCAAAAATGGATGTATTTGTGTATAACACTGAAATTTGATTCATAACTCCCACAAAATATGAAAATCAACTCAAAACGGATCAGAGACCAAAATCTATGACCCGGGACTGTGAAGTTTTTTGAAGGAAATACAAAGAAAAGCTCCAAGACACTGGAATAGGGGATGACTCTTAGACAAGACCCTCAAAGCCCAGGCAGCAAAATCAAAACTAAACAAATGGGATCAAATGAAACTAAAAGCTTTGCACAGCAAAAGAAATCATCATAGAGTGAAGAGACATCCAACAGGATGAGCAAAAGATATTTGTCAGCTACCTATCTGACAAAGGATTAATATCAAGAATACATCTGCAACTTAAAAAAAAAAAACAATAAAAAATCCCCACTAATCCAGTTATGAAATGGCCAAAGGAACTCAACAGACAATTCCCCATAGATATACACATGGCCAACAAATATAGGGAAAAATCACAACATCACAAGCTATCAGGGAAATGCAAATCCAAACCACAATGAGATATCAGCTCACAGGTACATACTGGCTAAAACACAAAGGACAGAGAGTCACAATGAGGAGGAGGATGTGGGAAAAGGGGAACACTTACACACTGGTGGTGGGAATGCAAATTAGTGCAGCTGCTGTGGAAAACGGTATGGAGATTTCTTAAGAAACCAGAAACAGACTTGCCGTATGATGGAACAAGCCCTCTACTGGCTATAACCCAAAGTACATGAACATATTGTATCAGAGAGATACGTACACCACAATATTTATTGCAGTATGCTTCATTGCAGCGAAAACAAGAAATTGTTGAAGACTTCTAATGGATAACAATGATTCTCTCTACATACACACACACACACACACACACACACACACTGAAAAAAACTTACAAATCCCTCTTTCCACAAAGTTTTTCAAGGACCCTCATGATACTCTCTGCATTACCTTAAATAACTAGAACAAATGTGGGCCCGTAACAGACACTTCTTTGAAAGCCAAGAAGCACATGTTTACCAAGAGAAAGTCCTCTGCCAGAATTCTGACTTCTACAAGCTGACTACAAGCCACAAACTTCATTCCCAGCCTAAGACAGGGTCTCCATGTTCCCAAGCCCCCTGTCAACCCAGTTTTCTTTCAGATAACATCTTCTCGATCTCTTGGTAGTCTGCACACTTTGGTCGAATTTTCTGATTAACTCAGCACCCATCCCCCAGTCCCTTCTGAAAGGTCCCTTTGCCCGCCTCCTGATATCCCTTCTCTCACTTTAACTAAGGTTTCTCCCCAGACCCTGTCCCGGATCTAACACTCTGATGCTCCACTAGTTCTTACAAGCAGACCTATTACAGCTCCTCCCTATTACAACTCTCCTCAAAGTCGCCTGCCTTCCTCCCCACAATCCTTCCATTTTGCTTTTCTATCAAAGGATGGTGACATACAGACACAAACTGTTTTCAGCTCCCAAAACCTTCCATGACTCAGGTTCTTCCATGCATTTAACCCTCCACTCCTACCACATGAAGTACTTGCAATCCTATCGTCATTAGCCTGAAAATCTAAAACCCAAACAACTATTACCACGTCTCTCCAAACCAGACTCTTATGTTTTGTACTCTGAGTCAACACATGCAGTTTTCCTCCCAGGTCTCCCTCCCACTGCCTGGAGACCCAGTCTTCCCTTCTTAGCATGTTGTTTGGCCCTTAATTCTCTGCAAAACTCCAGGGAACTCATTCCCCAGCAGGTTATTCACCTCTGTCTCTGAGGTTCCTCTATTCTAGGAACACTAGACCCCCACATTTCTGTCTCCACATGTCTATAGGGCTCCCACCACTGGACCTTCCTTCACAAAGGTTGAAAATACACTTTGCTGTCAGCCTGGAAACCCAACCCTTGGGCACAGGGTTTCCTTCCCTTCCCTTCTCTCCCCTTGGGCCCAAGGGCTGACATCAACAGGATGCAGCCATGTCTACTAACCAGTTGCTCCGGTCCAGGGTGAAGGCCCAGCGGGGTTTTACCAGGAAGCAGAGCAGTTCCCAAAAATGGAAGCTTACCCAGCAGATGAACTTCAGCGTCAACTCGTGTGTCCAGTTTCATATCCATGAAGATGTCTACAATGAAAATTAATAAACATTAAAGAAAGGGAAGAAGACACTCAAAAATGGAAAAATCATCCGTGCCTACTCATCAGTAAATCAACATAATGCAAATATCCATTCTACCATAAGCAATTTACAGATACAATGGGATCCTAACCAAAGGTCAAATAACACTTTGCCCAGATGGAGAGAAAACAATGCTAAAATTCATATGAAAACACAGAACATCCGAATAGTGAAAGCAATCTTATACAACGTACAAAACTCGAAGCATCGCAATAACAGACTGCAAGACACAGAACAGGGCAGTTACAATCAAAACAACTGGTATAATCAAAAAAAAATGACATATAGAACAATGGAACAGAAAAGAAACACCTGAAATAATGCACACATCTACAATCAATTTATCTTGGAAGAAGGAGCTAAAGATTAATCCCAGGTACAAGGGACAGTTTCTTCGAAAAATGGTCCTGAGAGAACTGGACCTCCACATGCAAACTATGAAAGATGTTCCATACCATACACCTTATACAAAAAGCAACAAAAGTAGTTCAAGGAACAACATCCAAAACACAATCTCATCATATTACTAGAGAACATGGGGAAAACTGAAAGACACTGGCATAGGCAAAGATTTCTGGGAAAAGACAGCAGAAGCACAGCAAGAAAAGCAGAAACAGAAACAAACGGCATTCCATCAAGCTGAGAAGCTTCTGCGCTGCAAAAGAAACACTCAGCAAAGTGAAGAGACAGCAGAATGAATGGGAGAAAATAATCTGCAAACTATGAAACTGAGAAAAGATTAATATCCACAATCTACAAAGAGCTCAACAACAACACAAAAAATGCAGTTAAGAAATGGGCATAGAACTTGAACGGGCATGTTTCAAGAGAGGAAATTAATATGGCCAACAGACACGTGAAAAATGCTGAGGATCACTAGCCATCAAGGAAATGCAAATCAAAATGGCAATGAGGTTTCACCGCACCACAGGCAGAATGGCTCTCATACAGAAATCAACAAATAATAAATGCTGCTGAGGAATTGGGAATATGGTACCCTGATCCACTCACTGTGGTGGGAATGTAAATACCATTCATTCAGGAACACAGAAATGCTGTCTTTAGCAACAAAATGGATGTAACTGGAAACTTGTATAATTAGTGAAATAAGCCAGCCCCCAAAGGACAAATGATGTATTTTTCCCTGATTTGTGGTAACTAAGTGTACCTAAATGTATTGTGTAGGAGAGACTGACATGCTGAAATAAGATGGTTTTTTTAGTTCTTGTCTCACTTTTAAAGACCAGTGTTTTTTTCTTCATACTCCCTGTTGAACACTTTTACTTAATCATATGAATGTATAGTTAACTGAAAATAGATAATTATAAGAATTAAGAGTGGGAACAAGAGAGGGAGGAAGAAGGCGGCTGGGAGTGTAGGCTTGAGGGATGGTAGCATGGGAAGAAGTATCAGTATGTTTTGAATCTGTATATAAAAATACATGAAATTTGCTTACCTGATATAAAATTTTAAAAAGTACATAATCTTCTAACCAGACTAACAAAAAAGATAAAAACTCCAGTAAATAAAATTACAGACAAAAAAGCAGACATTCTAACCAACATCACTGAAACACAAGGTTTCAAAAGAAATTGCTATTCAGTACTGTATGTTAGCAAACTGGAAAACCAGGAAGAAATGGAGAAATTCCTGGATAACAAGTACACGTGACCTACTAAGTAAAATCCAGAAGACACAGACATCCTAAAAACAGTCATAAAAATCAATGAAAACTGAAACACCCACCAAAAACACTGCTAGAACTGAGTAATAACTAAGTCACAGGTTACAAATAAACATACCTGGTAACCCGCAGTCCTGTCCTCCAGCGCGAGCCCAGCCACCCGCTTCTCCGCCTCCCACAGCTGAGCCGCCCACGCCCATGGCCGCCCAGCCTGAGGACCTGAGTGTCTACACTGCTCCGAGGCGCCACAACCCCCGCCCCCCCCCACAACACGAGGTCCCAGGCCTCTTACTATTTCATAAGGAAAACTCACCTTCATTCCCGCACTCTCCGGGCCAGCACCGCCACCAACAACGCTGCCATCAGCGGATAACTCCGGCAGCGGACAACACGCCAACACCGCCGGATACAGGGTCTTGCTCTCCACCAGCCGACTGCGCAAGCGCCAGCCATCTAGGACCCGCCTCTTCCTCCCAGTGAGCACAGCGGCACCGGAAGTGGCCAGGCAGCCTCAAAGTAGTGGCTGACAGCTGTCATGGCTCCAGCCTTGAGGTAGCCGGCCTATGTGGATCTCCGGTGTGCTCCAGGTAAGTAACCTTTTCTGGTGCAAAAAAATCCTGTGGTTTGCAAAAAAAAAAAAAAAAGAATGCAACTGTAAGACGTTACACTTTGTGAAATAAGCCATTTCGTTTCTGAGCTTTTCTTTGTTGGGAGTGCCTTTATTACGGTTTCAATTTCTTTCTCAGTTTTGGGTCTGTTTAGGTTTTCTATGTCTTCCTGGTTCAATTTAGGTAGGTTGCATGTGTCCAGGAATCTATCCATTTCTGATAGGTTTCCCTGTTTGCTGGCATACAAGTCCTTGTAGTAATTTCTGATGATTCTTTTTATTTCTGTGGTGTCTGTTGTTACATTTCCTTTTTCATCTCTGATTTTATTGATTTGGGTCTTTTTTTAGTTAGTTGGGACAATGGTGTGTCAATTTTGTTTATTTTTTCAAAAAACCTGCTCTTCGCTTGGCTGATTTTTTGTAATGTTTTTTTTTTTTTTTTGGATTCAATCATGTTGATTTCTTCTCTGATTTTAATTATTTCTCTTCTCCTACTAGATTTGAGTCTGGTTTGCTGCAGATTTTTTAGGTCCTTGAGATGCGCTGAAAGCTCATTTATTTGGTGCATTTCCAATTTCTTGATATAGGCACCTACTGCTATAAACTTGCCTCTCAACACTGCTTTTGCTGTATCCCATAAGTTTTGGTATGCTGTATTGTTATCCTGATTTACTTCCAGAAAGGTTTTGATTTCAGTTTTGATTTCTTGAATGACCCAGTGTTCATTCAGGAGCATGTTGTTCAGTCTCCATGTGTTTGCATACTTTCTGGGGTTTCCTGAGTTGCTAATTTCCAGCTTCATCCCGCTGTGGTCTGAGAAGCTGCATGGTATGATTCTAATTCTTTTAAATTTGCTGAGACTTGCTTTATGGCCTAGTATGTGGTCAATCCTAGAGATGGTTCCATGCACTGCTGAGAAGAATGTAAAGTCTTTAGATGTAGGATTGAAAGTTCTGTAGATATCTGTTAGATCCATTTGGGCAATAGTGTCGATTAAATCTGCTGTCTCCTTGTTGATCTTCTGTCCGGATGATCTGTCTATTTCTGAGAGTGGAGTGTTAAAGTCCCCCAGTACTATGGTATTGGAGTCTAAGTCTTCCTTTAAGTCCCTTAAAATAGATCTGTGTGCTAAGAAAAAACTTTCCTTTTCTTTTCATAAAAGTAACTCCAAATAAACATATAATAGTGTATCACAAAGAAGGTATATATATCATAATTAAAATTTCAAGGTCAAACTATTTCTCATCAGTTCATTGAATTCGCCGGCACCCCGGGTTCTAGTCCTGGTCGGGGCGCCAGATTCTGTCCCAGTTGCCCCTCTTCCAGGCCAGCTCTCTGCTGTGGCCCGGGAGTGCAGTGGAGGATGGCCCAAGTGCTTGGGCCCTGCACCCACATGGGAGACCAGGAGAAGCACCTGGCTCCTGGCTTCAGATCGGCGCAGAGCGCCAGCCTTAGCAGCCATTTGGGGGGTGAACCAACGGAAGGAAGACCTTTCTCTCTGTCTCTCTCTCACTGTCTAACTCTGTCTGTCAAAATAAATAAATAAATAATAAATAAATAAATAAATAAATAAATCAGATATGGTGCTGTAAAGTCACTTATTTGTCCCATCTCCCCCCACTTCTCAACCAGCTCCACACTAATGGTTTGGGAGAAGCAGTAGAAGATGGCCCAGGTAATTGGGCCCATGCTACCCACGTGGAATACCCAGATGAAGCTCCTGGCTCCTGATTTCGGGCTAGCCCAGTGCCAGTCATTGTGGTTATCTTAGGAGTGAAGTAGGGAATTGAAGATTCTCTCTCTGGGACCAGTGGTGTGCCATACTAAGTTAAGCCTCCACCTGTGGTGCTGACATCCACATGAGCGCCATCAGGAAACCATTGAGGGGGCCAGGGTTATGGTGCAGTGGGTTAAGCCATCACTGGCAATGCTGGCATCCCAATTAAGTACCAGTCTGAGTCCTGCCTGCTCTGCTTTCCATTCAGTTCCCTGCTAATGCACCTGGGAAAGCAGCAGAAGATGGCCCAAGTAAGTGCTTAGGTCCCTGCCATGCATCCAGGAGGTCTGCATGGAATTCCAGGCTCCTGACTTTTGCCTAGTGCAGCAGATGGGAGATCTCTTTCTCTCTCTCTCTTTCCCACTCTCTCTCCATCACTCTGCCTTTCAAAGAGCATAAATTAATCTTTTAAAAAAGCCAAGGAAAAAACACAGACGCTGAGGACATGAGTCTGACAGTCCTTTCATGGATTAGACACAGAAAGACCACATGACCTAGTGTGCTGGTTTGCTGGGTTTGCCATGGCAAACGTACACAGACTCTACCTGAACAACTGAAGTGTATAAGAGGATTTCAACAAGTTTGTTGGAAATGGAATTAAGAGGTAAATTTAGGGGTGGCACTGGCACTGTGGGTTAAGCTGCCACCTTGAATGCCTGTGCCTGGGGTCCAGTCCTTCCTCTTCAGCTTCCTGGGAGACAACAGGTGATGGGTACAAGAACCTGGCCACCCACATGGGAGACCTGGGTGTAGTTCCTGGCTACAGCCTGTCCTAGTCCTGGCTGTTGTGACCATCTGGGGAGTGAACCAGCATATGGAAGATCTCTTTTTTTTTAAGCGTTATTTGGATTTTCATTTTTTTTAAAGATTTTATTATTTATTTGAAAGGTAGAGTCACAGACAGTGAGAAGGAGAGACAGAGAGGTCTTCCATCTGTTGGTTCACTCCCCAAATGTCTGCAACAGCCAAAGCTGCACTGATCCAAAGCCAGGAGCCAGGAGCTTCTTCTGGGTCTCCCACACGGGTGCAGGGGCCCAAGGACTTGAACTACTTGAACCATCTTCCACTGCTCTCCCAGGCCATAGCAGAGAGCTGGATTGGAAGAGGAGCACCAGGACTAGAACTGGCACCCATATGGGAGACCGACACCACAGGCAGAGTATTAATCTGTGCCACAGTGCCAGCCCCAGATCTCTCTCTCTCTGTGTCAATCTGCCTTTCAACTAAATAAATCTGTTTTTTAAAATACCCTATACAGGACAGTTACAATCAAAAGAGCTTGGTATAGGCAAAAAAAAAAAAAAGACATATAGAACAATGGAACAGAAAAGAAACACATGAAATAATGCACACATCTACAACTAATCTATCTTTGAAGAAGGAGCTAAAGATCAATCCCAGGTTCCAAGGACAGTTTCTTCAAAAACTGGTCCTGAGTAAACTGGACCTCCACATGTAGAACTATGAAAGAAGTTCCATACCATACATCTTATACAAAAAGCAACTAAAACACATCAAGGAACAAAATCTAAAACTCAATTTCATCAAATTACTAGAGAACATTGGGAAAACTGATAGACATTGGTGTAGATAAAGATTTCTGGGAAAAGATGCCAGTAGCACAAGTAATAAAAGCAGAAACAGACAAACATGCTTCCATCAAGCTAAGAAGCTTCTGCACTACAAAAGGAATACTCAGCAAAGTAAAGAGGCAACTGCAAGAACAGGAGAAAATATTTGCTAACTATGAAACTGATAAAAGATTAATATCCAGGCTGGCGCAGTGGCTCAATAGGCTAATCCTCCGCCTGTGGCACTAGCACTCTGGGTTCTAGTCCCAGTCGGAGCGCCAGATTCTGTCCCTGTTGCTCCTCTTCCAGGCCAGTTCTGTGCTGTGGCCTGGGAGTGCAGTGGAGGACGGCCCAAGTCCTTGGACCCTGCACCCACATGGGAGATCAGGAGAAGCACCTGGCTCTTGGCTTTGGAGCAGCACGGTGCACTGGTTGCAGCAGCCAATTGGGGGTGAACAAATGGAAAAAGGAGGACCTATCTCTCTGTCTCTCTCACTGTCCACTCTGCCTGTCAAAAAAAAAAAAAGATTAATATCCAAAATCTAAAAAGAGCAAAGTGAAGAGGCAACCAAATGAATAAGAGAAAATAATCTGCCAACTATGAAACTTATAAAGGATTAATATCCACAATCTATAAAGAGTTCAAGGAACTCAACAACAACAAAACAAAAATTCCATTTAAAAATGGGCAAAGGACTTGAACAGGCACGTTTCAAGAGAGGAAATTCATATGGCCAACATACACATGAAAAATTCTCAGAATCACTACCCATCAAGGAAATGCAAATCAAAATGACAATGAGGTTTCACCGCACCACAGGCAGAATGGCTCTCATACAGAAATCAACAAACGATAACTGCTGCCGAGGATCTGGCAGTATGCTACCCTAATACACTGTTGGTGGAAATGTAACCTGGGGAAGCCATTGCAGAAGACAGTATGGAGATACCTCATAAAGCTGAAAATAAATCTACCATATGACTCAGCAATCCCTCTCCTGGTGATTTACCCCTAGGAAATGAACTCAGCAGATTCGAAAGGGTTATCTGTACCTCCACGTGTACTGTAGCTCTGTTCACAACAGCTAAGACATGGACTCAAACCTGATGTCCATGAACTGATGACAGGAAGTGGAGAGTCTCCAGAAGAGCAAGACTGCCCGGCAGCTGAGGGTCAGTGTCCACTCTGGGTACAGGGGCACATCCGTGTCCTCCAGGAGGGGGGAGGGGAGGCAGACAGCTGCGTCAAGGCTTCCTCACACCTGAGCCCCTGCCCACCCCACTGCCTCTGAACCTGTGGATTTGGGGGGAGAAGGCCGCTGGGAAGCCCTCGGATCCCAGCTCCTTTGAGGCAGGCCCTGGGCATCTGTCTGTCCCGTAAGCTTAAACACAGCAAATCCCTCCCGCACTTCCAAGCCTACCGTACCGCTCTCGCCAATGCCACCGCCAGCCGACAACGACACTGCTGCAGATATCGCTTACTCTTCCCGAGGCCTACTGCGCCTAACACCCGCCCCTTCCTCCCAGGATACATAGCGTCAGCAGAAGAGGCCGCACTGCCTTGGTGAACCAGGGGCAGCGGCCTGATCCCCAGCGTGACATGCTTGCCCTGTGCTCATTACGATCATGTGCACTCCAAGGGCACTGTTGCTCCCAATCCAG